TAATCTTTGTTTAGTACAATTCTTGCCCAAATGATCAACTTTGTATTCAAATGTAGCTTTATGATTTTTCTGGATGTGTCTTACAAGTTGTTTAAAATCCTTGTCATTTAAGGCTGTTTTTCCTTCATAACTTTGTTTCCATGAAACTATAGAGCAGGGATGGGCAACCTTTTTCTATATAAAGGTCACATTTCAGACTTTTGAACTGACACAGGCCGCATAAAAGAAAAAAAAAATGCCAGTAAATCACAATTTATTTATTTATATATAAGTATAAATTAGCTTAGGTATACTTAATTTAGCTTTTGGAACTGATGTTAATGTAATATATCAGAAATACTTGGTTAAATGTTAGTCACTACTAGTTTTAAATTAGTTTCAATGTGAGTCTGTTTCTTGTTTTAATTTTTACTAAATTCTTTGTGGGAAAACCTAGTCACATACATAAGTTGTAGAAAATAACATTTGAATTTTTGCTGCATACTTCCTTAAGCTGGGAAATTGACATATTTATTCATATTTTATGCAACGCAAGCCACAAAATATATTAATGCTGGCCGCAAGTTGCCCACCTCTGTATAGAGCATGACTTTTGGTAAAGTAAACTTTGAACTATAGCTCACTTTTACTTAATTCTCAAGTAATCTCTACATAATTTTTTCTACAAATATTTTTTGGAGTTCTGCACTCAAATAAGTTTGCTTGTAGTCATTTCTCCAATTCCTGGCATAAACACACTTCTATATGTTTTTCATGTATCTACAGCCTTCACAACTTACTTTCATTTAAATAATTCTGAAATCTTCCACTGTTCCTTGTTAAAGTACAAAATAATTTGCATGCTGTGTCAAACATACTATTTTGCATATTTATTATGATAAGCAATGTTCATCACTTTATCATTACGCTAAAAACCATAGATTTTAGTGAATTGGAATTATTTGATTTTGTTCTTGTATAACAGTGAACCTGAGAAAAATGTTTTTCAACATAGGAGAGCTAAATTCCATTATTTTCTGGATATTTTAACAAGAATGAAAGAAATCTTTAAATGACTGCACATTCAGAATTGCAATAATATCAAAATTCAATTCTTAGATTTTACTTTATGTTTCTATATCCTGTCATTGACTGAATAAGCACTTGTAAATATACATCAAATAAAACTTCAGATAATAAATATTAGAGATTACAATATAATTTTCTCAACTACTTTTTTTTAATTTCCAATCTTGTTGAGCTGCAATTTGAAAAAATTGTAGACCTATAAATTCCCACTGTCATCTGTCTTTCTTTAATCTCAAAAATGGAGTTAGATAGATGGAAGACAAGACCAGATATTTCTGAATTAGTCTATTTAGAAATATTTTAAAATTATTTAATTAACAATTAATAACAAATTATGACATATCAGAGCCAAATTATTTTTACTGTTGCTAACCTTTAAAATCACTCACTCAATAACCTGATTTAATTTGTCATTTTATTACTGTTTACTTTATTATTAATTAGATCATTGATGTATTTTTATTACATTAAAAAAACACTGAGCATTTTGTAATCAGAACAAGGCTATCAGATAACATTCACCCACAATGGATCTGTTTATATTTTCTGAAAAGTGCCACTCATGTTACTTACCAGTATTTTTTAATATGTCTTAATAAAATGTAAACGTAAACAGAGTAATTAAAAACATTTCTGGGGATCAAAAATCACTATTTTGAAAAAAATTACACTCAAAATTCTGAAAATTTGAAGTTGCTTTCTTTAAAAATCTATTGAGACGATAGAATAAAAATAATATATATGACTCGTATTTAAATGGAATAAACACATGTATGTTCTTCATTTTAAAAGACTAAAGAATTGACTTAGACTTAAAATCATATAAAAATCAACCTGTAATTTCATATTCTATGCATAATTTTAAACAGTCACTATCGTATCAAGTGATCTACTTTAAATATGAGATTAAGAATGAAATCTATTTTGATATGCATGTAGAAATAAATAAATAAATTATCAGACACAAAGTCATACTTGTTAATGTTAAAAAATAACAATGAATAAAGAGCTATATTATCTAGTACCATCATCAGAAATAAAGAATATGGAGTAGGTTTACATCAGCACTAAATAAGATATTATCTGCATTATAAGTGAATATTAATTAAATGGAATAAATTTAAAATGTTTACGAAATAAAACATTAAAGTTAGATTGACCTGCCGAAAATAATTTTTGTTTTCTTTCCATTCTCCAAATTAACGTAATATAAAAAAAATGTTACAAAATATTTTATGAATTTTGAAATCTTTAAATATATTTCATGCAGTTCAATATATCAATAAAGTGATTGATTGATTTGCATTTTGTTTAATTTTGTTTCCTTTTTTACTCCTTTAAAAATTAAAAATTATAATTTTAGGAAAATTCTTATTACCTTATTAAAATATACTTTGTAATAATTTTAAAAAATAAATATTAATATTTTATTATTTTTTAATCTCAAATCTGATACATGTAGTATTTGTCTCAATCTACACCTCTCTCCTCAATTCATTTATATAAGACTAAAAATTATAAATCAGACTAATAACACTAAAAATAAGAGTAGATACAACCGATAAAGAATTAGCTAAATAGGTTTATTTAGTTTTATTTTGCTTTAGAAAGAAAATAAAATGAAAAGTTGACTTGATCCCTAATTAGTTTTACCCAAGTACTTATGCATAAAACCATTGATTCCTACCAATACTATCTCCACCAATTCATCTAACTGAACACTGAATCTATTAGTAAAATATATTATTTACTTTGTATTTGATATTTTTTTTTACTATTTGTACCAATAATTATATTTTTATTTCTACAATATTCTTCATTTTATATTTTTGTTTTTATGTACAGTTATTTATTTCATTTTTTTTAAAATTTGTATTATATTACTTTATAATTACATTATGCATATTTTAATTTAAATAATTTTATTTTATTCAATCCCAATATTTTGCAAAACATTTGATATTTTATAATTTGTTTTTATTTGCTTTTGAACAAGTTTAATTGAAACATAATTAATGTTTAATTTTCATATCATTTATTTATTGAACTAATACCAGATGGTCAAATCACAAAGGTTTTAAAATGCACCTGTGGAATACTGAAAAGAGCACATTTATGGAGATTAAACAGTCTTAAATACATTTTTTGCTGTTGTTTTATATTTCATTAAATTTAAAATTTTCACTGAAAATTTTTAATTTTTTCTGTACCGAAAATACATAAAATCTTTCATCTCCCCACTTACATTAATGCCATGTTTTTGGCTTGGCTTATTTAAATGCTTGTATATGTTTAAATCTCTTAAATGTTTATATTAATAAGTAATAACCAAAACACTTTATGTAATTTTTATATCATTTAAATTGAAATTTTAAGAATTTTTATTGTAATGAAATTTCTTAGTTGTTCAATTTATTCTGCAAGCAAATGACTTAAATATCAAGAATAATATTACTATATATGTATGTGTCAATTACATTCATATGAAGTAATACAAATATTACAAAGAAATGCAATCACATGATAAAACACCATTTCTATCATAACTAAGTTTATTCAAAATTAATGAAATACAAAATTAAAAATCTATAGTTATTTACAGACACATGGAAAAAATTAGCTTCAATTTAAATTATTAAAGTAAGAAGACAAAATAATATAAACAGTTATGAATACTTTTAAATATATGTATGTAAGGACAGAAGAAACAAACACTAAGAATTGTTATAAAAATAAATTATTTTTATTTCATTATCTGATGATGTAAATGATTTTTGGAATGGAGTGAAGAAGTCCCAAAAAAGTTCACATCATAAGATCCAAAAAGTTTGAATCTTAAGTTTAAATGAAAACATCTGTATGTTTCCATTGAGCATTCTGAAGAAATTCAAAATTGAAGATCAGTCTAATGAAAGATAAATTCCATGAACACTCATTGGAACCACCCTGTTCAATTTGCATTATTTTCAGGAAGTTGTTCTTATTTGAACTTAAGATTTCAACTTTGTAGGTCTGGTGATGGGACAGAGAAGTCTTGAAAAATGTTTGACAAAATAAAAACATTGACTCATATCTCAGCTTGATATGATATAAAATTGAATATTTTACATAAGAGGTAAATCAAATTGTAAATCTTATCTTGTAAATCAAGTTATATTTATATATAGTGATTACACACACAATACTATTATTGTTAAAATTCCATCACTATGTACTAAAATATATTAAAATTAAACAATGAATAAAAAACATTAAATAAGAATCTGGAATTTTATACACTAAATTCTTATTTTATGTCTATAACCCAGAAGGGGTCACATGACCCATTCTGACCCCCCTATTTTATTATTTGCTGAATCGTTCATAATTATGTTTTTTTGATGTGACTCACAGTAGCTGCCTATATTCTTTGATATTATCGGAACGTATAACCATTTTTTCACTTTTGCAGAACGTATTACAAAAAAATGGCTCTTTGGGATCATGGTGACCCACAGCGACTTTTGACGTTTGTTGTAATTTGATATGTTTATGTAATGTAAATATAATTTTTTTTAAAATTGTGAATTGACATACCTATTATATAATAAAAATGATTTTGTATCATTATTAATTGTTTCAAATTTTTTAAATAATTAAATTTTTAAAAAATTTTTAAGTATTTGAAAAATTCTAACATTCTAACAATTCTAAATTCAAATGTTAATAAATAATTAACTAAGTATTAGAAAGTAAACAAATATGTTTATTAAATTACAAAACAGAATGAGAAATAATATTTAAAAGAAAAAAGTGCAAAAAGTTAATTAGTTAAAATAGAATTTAATATTTAAAATGCGGGTTGAGGTGACCCGCAGCGACCCCCATAGAATGGACCCCACCTGGAATAACAAAGTATGAGAGTAATATGCATATATATTATATTGAAATACCTGATTTAGCACACTAGATGCTTGACTGCCTTGATGTCCTTGAAGATTGTAAGCCATTACCACATTAGGTGGTGTGCTTCTTGATCCAATTCCTGGCCTTATAACTGACTGCTGTAGCAAACTATTTGGACCCCTTCCTGTAATAACTAAGGGTGGCGGACCAGTTTGTCCCCTTGCCTAAAAGTAATTTAAAGAAATAAGACTTCCATCTTAAATTATTATCCAATCTTAAACATAGCTGATTATGACAAAAATTAATGATATATTTTATTACAGTAGAGCATCGATTATCCAACCCCCAATTAACCTTGGTTAATCGACTGTGTTCTAGTCGGCAAATTCAAATGTCCGCTAGTGATATGGCGCTACAATATTTGGCTATGTCTTGGCTACTTTAATATTATTTTTACGTGTTTTAGCTGGCAACACTGGATCGACCTTGAAAGGGAGCCAGTATTTAAACGAGGCTTAATTTTCTAATTTTTAACGAAACAATAGTGACAATTATTATTTTTTTTTAAAATTTGATAGGCTTAACATGGAGGAAAATTCAATGCGAAGTAGGTTAATAGCAATATGCTAATATACTAATTACATGGGATATAATAATATACTACACTAATAATGAATTTTTTCATACTTTTCGGTTATCCGACCAACCCTAGTCCCCAATTGAGTCGGATAATCGATGCTCTACTGTATTATTAAATATTAATTATTCTTATATCACTGTTACTTTAGATTATCATATTTTAAAGAAAATTGTGGAAGAGTTTTAAAATTATGATTTTCCTTAACAAAAACACATTCTGAAAAGCAAAACATAAAACACAGCTATGAAGTCATAACATTATTTTAAACAATAGAACCCACTAATATTTCCTTAGTATTATAAATATAGTTTATAATACTAATTATTGTAATACTATCAATATAGATTTATTAATATAAGATTATGAATTTAAATAGTTATGTATTAATTTTTTTCATTTATCTGAAAATCTAGTAAGTATTTAACTCAGAACTGAGATTTTTCCAAAAGCAATCTGAATTACTGTTTAATTCCTTATATCTAATCTACGAGGGTAGTCCCAGAAGTACCCAACCTAACAAAGAAGACACAAAAAATTTGGTAAAACATATCTTTATTTTTCAACATAGTCTCCTTTTAGCTCGATATACTTTTTCCAGCAATGTACAATAGCTTCAATCCTCTGTTTATAGTGAGAACTGTCAGGCTTCTCAAAATAGCCATCAACCGCAGACTCCACCTCTTCATTGTTGGCAAATCTTTTATCATCAAGCCATTTTTTTAAGTTTTGAAAGAGAAAATAATCCGAAGGGCTAAATCTGGCAAATAGGGTGAGTGAGGAAGCAATTTGAACCTTAACTCATTGATTTTGGCCATCACAATAACAGATGTGTGAACTGATGCGTTGTCTTGATGAAACAAGACAACGCATCAGTTCGCCAAATGTGGCCAAATTTTTCGCCAAATGTGGCCATTTTTTCTTGATTTTATCACTCAAGCGCTGCAATAAGTTCGCATAATACTTGCTGTTGATTGTTTTTCCTGGGTGAATCCCAAAAAACTGATGCCATGGATCTTGCCAGCAGATGGAACTGTTTTCGCCTTCTTTGGAGCTGATTCTCCCCTTTCAGTCCATNGCAAAATTCAAATGTCCGCTAGTGATGTGGCGCTACAATATTTGGCTATGTCTTGGCTACTTTAATATTATTTTTACGTGTTTTAGCTGGCAACACTGGATCGACCTTGAAAGGGAGCCAGTATTTAAACGAGGCTTAATTTTCTAATTTTTAACGAAACAATAGTGACAATTATTATTTTTTTTTAAAATTTGATAGGCTTAACATGGAGGAAAATTCAATGCGAAGTAGGTTAATAGCAATATGCTAATATACTAATTACATGGGATATAATAATATACTACACTAATAATGAATTTTTTCATACTTTTCGGTTATCCGACCAACCCTAGTCCCCAATTGAGTCGGATAATCGATGCTCTACTGTATTATTAAATATTAATTATTCTTATATCACTGTTACTTTAGATTATCATATTTTAAAGAAAATTGTGGAAGAGTTTTAAAATTATGATTTTCCTTAACAAAAACACATTCTGAAAAGCAAAACATAAAACACAGCTATGAAGTCATAACATTATTTTAAACAATAGAACCCACTAATATTTCCTTAGTATTATAAATATAGTTTATAATACTAATTATTGTAATACTATCAATATAGATTTATTAATATAAGATTATGAATTTAAATAGTTATGTATTAATTTTTTTCATTTATCTGAAAATCTAGTAAGTATTTAACTCAGAACTGAGATTTTTCCAAAAGCAATCTGAATTACTGTTTAATTCCTTATATCTAATCTACGAGGGTAGTCCCAGAAGTACCCAACCTAACAAAGAAGACACAAAAAATTTGGTAAAACATATCTTTATTTTTCAACATAGTCTCCTTTTAGCTCGATATACTTTTTCCAGCAATGTACAATAGCTTCAATCCTCTGTTTATAGTGAGAACTGTCAGGCTTCTCAAAATAGCCATCAACCGCAGACTCCACCTCTTCATTGTTGGCAAATCTTTTATCATCAAGCCATTTTTTTAAGTTTTGAAAGAGAAAATAATCCGAAGGGCTAAATCTGGCAAATAGGGTGAGTGAGGAAGCAATTTGAACCTTAACTCATTGATTTTGGCCATCACAATAACGGATGTGTGAACTGGTGCGTTGTCTTGATGAAACAACACTTTCTTTTTTGCCAAATGTGGCCGTTTTTTCTTGATTTCATCACTCAAGCGCTGCAATAAGTTCGCATAATACTTGCCGTTGATTGTTTTTCCTGGGCGCATCCCAAAAAACTGACGCCATGACCTTGCCAGCAGATGGAACTGTTTTCGCCTTCTTTGGAGCTGATTCTCCCCTTTCAGTCCATTGTTTCGACTGTTCTTTCGTCTCAGGTGTGAAGTGATGGACCCATGTTTCATCCATGGTTATGAATCGACGCAAAAACTCGGCTTTGTTGCTGCGAAACATTGCCAAAGACTCAATTGAAACATCCTCACGATGCTGTTTTTGTCCCATTGTGTGCAAATGCGGCACCCATCTTGCGCACAGCTTTCTCATGTCCAAATTTTCAGTTAAAATGCGATGTACAGCACTTTTTGAAATGCCTACCATGTCTGCTAGCTCTCGCACTTTGAGTTGACTGTCATCCAATACCATTTTGTGGATTTTTTCCACCATTTCTGGCATGGTCACCTCACTTGGTCGACCACTACGATGTTCGTCTTGGCAGCTCGTACGGCCTCGTTTAAACTCTGCCACCCAATATTTTATTGTTGTAAACAAGGAGCAGACTCCCCCAGAGTAGAATCTAGCTCAGCTTTAATATTGGTTGGACTGAAACCTTTCAAATGAAAATATTGTATCACATAACGATGACAAATTTTTTCCATGTTTACAAATTCACTGAGATTGTTCACTATTTATGGCTGCCAAAAAAATAATATACAACGTAACGTCTTCAAACTTCAAACTTAAGCTTTATAAGGTTGATATTTTCGAACACAGTCGTTTTTTTTTTTCAAACAAGTACCGCCATCTATGTCAGGTCAGGTACTTCTGGGACGACCCTCATATGCTAACCAATTCTTTGTAGACCAAGCTTACTTATAACTACCCCTGGATTTATATGTTACATGTGTTTTTCTTGCTGATATATAGGGAAGAAACTTCAATATTTGACTTCCTTGTCAATTTCTGAAACAAATTATGCTAATTTTATGCAACATATTTTTCCATATTTTGCCATATTCATGATATTTTTCATTACTTCTGGCATATCAACTGCATTATGGAAACCAGTTGTTATTAATTGTCAGACTGAATTAAAAATTAGAGTTTGAGATTACATAAAGATTCAGATATGAAGGAATAATTAAACAGTTAAGGCCTAGATCAGATGTGGTGATCCTGTAGGATGCATACCGAAAGTGGCATGTAACATATCATACAGTTTAGATTTATCATCTGTCTTTTTCAATTATCCTTTTGGTTTAACACCTGATCATCCTTTTTCAATCAGCTTTTTACAGTTATTCTAATTAAAGCATATTTGTTTAATTTCTTTAAATATTGTTATTTGAAGTCTAAAACTGTAATGCAAAAACATCTTTACAGCTAAGTATGCTTACTATATGGCATGTGAACTCAAAAAGGTTTGCCATTCCTGACCTAGGTTAATGAAAAATTTATAAAAATGTAATAAATTTAAATATAGTATAGTCATACTTTCTGTATAATACACAGTTTAGACAGTTTTGTTCAGAGCTCTGTTGATTTGAATATAATGCAGACATATTTCTTTTCATATAAGTTGAAATTATGAACAAAATAAATCCCATAAATTTGAAAAAATAATTTTCTGCCAGTTTTTATTATTATTAAAGTTCATTTCGCTACCTTATATGATTGTGTATGGTGTTAAATAATAATTTATTGATAAAAACCAATAATCTGATGAATTTGTTGACTCATACATATTTTTATTAAACTCTTTTATGCATTTATTTAAATGTTAGTCCAGTAAGTTTTCACTACAACCTATAGCAGGCATGGGAAAATGCAGCTCCGAGAGTCACATGCAGCTCTTTTTGAGTTACATGTGACTCTTGCTGAAAGTGTTAATTTCTGCTTTTTTATTATTATTTTTACAATTTTATTTCCACAGTTTTGTGAAAATATGTTTATTAAAAAAGTTCAATATTTGTTTTATATTATATAATAAAATCACAGTACAGAATAAAAAAGTACAGAACTGCGGCTCCCATGCATTCTTCAAAACCTACATTTCGGCTCCCACTGAACTCTTACTTGCCCACCCGACCTATAGAATACAGGCATACCTCGACTTACGTCGTTTCGAGTTACGTCGTTCCCGATTATACGTCGCTTGTTAAAAAAGTATATGGAAAAATAAAAATCAAGTTTAAGTCATTTTATTCGACTTTACGTCTGTCCGCCACAAATATTGAAGTCGTAATATCACTAGAAAAACGTTTAAAGCACATAAAATCATATTAAAATATATACAAGTATGTACTGTATTTACAGTACATGCATTCGTAAATTTAG